AGAAAAAAAAATTTTTCAAATTTATTTTCACTAGTATCCAAAAAGATGAGCTTCCTAAAAGAAAAAACCTTACAAGAACTTTTACCTAAAAACTATAAAACATTGCAAAAACAATAAAGACTTAAAAATGGTGATATAAACTATTTTCATGTAATGAAAATATCATCTAGTTAAGAAACTAAATGTTTGATTTTGAGTTTATTTTTGTATATAGTGTAACAAAGTAGTCCAATTTCATTCTTCTGCTTGTGGCTGGCCAGTTTTCCCAACACATTTGTTGGGAAGACTGTATTTTTTCCATTGGATATTTTTTCCTGCTTTGTTGAAGATTAATTGACCACATAGTTGTGGGTTCATTTCTGGGTTTTCTATTCTGTTCCATTGATCTATATGTCTATTCTTGTACCAGTAGCATACTGTCTTGATCACTACTGCTTTGTAATATAACTTCAAGTCAGGAATTGTGAGGTTTCCAGCTTTTCCTTTTCTTTTTCAAGGTAGCTTTGGCTATTTGGGGTCTTTTGTGGTTCCATACAAATTTAGGATTGTTTGTTCTAGCTCTGAAAAATGCTACTGGTGTTTTGATAGGAGTTGCATTAAACGTGTAGAATGCTTTGGATAACATAGACATTTTAAGAATATTTGTTCTTCCAATTCTAAGTGTGAGACAGGAAACCATTAAAATCCTAGACAAGAACACAGGGAGTAACCTCTATGACATCAGCTGTAGCAACTTCTTACTAGATATGTCTCCTGAGGAAAGGAAAACAAAAGCAAAAATAAACTATTGGGTCTTCATCAAAATAAAAAGCTTCTGCACAGTGAAGGAAATAATCAACAAAACTAAAAGCTAATCTTTGGAATCAGAGAGGATATTTGCAAATGACATATCAGATAAAGGGTTAGTGTCCAAAATATATAAATAACTTATAAGATTCAACACCCAAAAAGACAAATAATTCAGTGAACAAATGAGCAAAAGACATGAATAGGTATTTTTCCAAAGAAACATAAAAACATGCTCAACACCACTCATCCTCAGAGAAATGCAAAACAAATCTACAATGAGCTATCACCTCAGAACAGCTAAAATTAACAACACAGGAAACAACAGGTGTTAGTAAGGATACAGAGAAAGAGGAGCCCTCTTGCACGGTTGGTGGGAATGCAAACTGGTACAGTCACTCTGGAAAGAAGTATGGAGGTTCCTCAAAAAGTTAAAAATAGAACTACCTTATGATCCAAAAACTGCACTACTATGTATTTACCCAAAGAATATAAAAATACTAATCCAAAGGAATACATGCACCTTGATTACCAAGAGCCCAAATGTTCATTGACTGATGAGTGATAAAGAAGATGCAGTAGATAGATGACCTAGATAGATAGATAGATAGAAGATAGATTAATAGATAATAACTGATGATGATGATGATGATGATAGATGACAGACAGATGATAGAGAGAAATATACACAATGGAATATTTCTCAGCCATGAAAAAGAATGAAATCTTGCCATTTACAATTATATGAGTGGAGCTAGAGACTATTACGCTAAGCAAAATAAGTCTGTCAGAGAAATACGATTTCAACAAACAAAACAAAACAATCATGGGGGGGAGAAAAAGAGAGAAAACAAAGAAACAGACTCTTAACTATACAGAACAAACTGATTGTTACCAGAGGAGAGATGGATGTGGAGATGGGTTAAATTAACTCAAAATGGATCATAGATTTAAATGTAAAATGCAAAAATATAAAACTTCTAGAAGATAATATAGGAGAAAATCTAGATTAGGTTTTAAGATGACCTCTGGATACAACAAAACACAATCCATGAAAGAAAAAACTAGTAATTTCAATTTCATTAAAATTAAAAACTTCCATTCTACAAAAGGTACAATTAAGAGAATGAAAAGAGAATACACAGACTGAGAGAAAATCTTTGCAGTTATCTGACAAAGTGCTTATGTCCACAATATACAAAGAACACTTAAAACTCAATAAGAAAGCAAGTAACCCAATTAAAAATGAGTAAAGTATCTGAACAAATACCTCACCAAAGATGGCAAAAAATATGAAAAAATTCTCAACATCAGATATTACAAATTAAAACAATGAGATATCAGTAAATAACTTTCAGAATGGCTAAAATCCAAAATTCTGACAACACCAAATGTTGACAAAGATACAGAGCAACAAGAATTCTCATTCTCATTGTAGGTAGGAATATGAAATGATGTATCCCCTTTGCAAACCAGTTTGACAATTTCTCACAAAACTAAACATACATTTACTATATGATCCAGAAATTGCATTCCTTGGTATATAACCAAATCAGTTGAAAAACATATCCATACTAAAAACCTAAGTTTGCGGCAGCTTTTCTGTAATTGCAGAAAATCAGAAGCCACCAAGATGTCTTTTAATAGATAAACTGATTTTAAAAACTATGATACATCCACACAATGGATTACTATTAATAAAAAGAAATTAGCTATAAAACCATAAAAATCATTAAGCAGGAACCTTAAATGCATATTGCTAAGTAAAAGAAAGACTATATGAATCCAAATATATAACGTTCTTGGAAGGGCAATGCTATAGAGATATCAAAAAGATCAATGATTGCCAAGGACTCAGATGGATGGATGGATAAATGAATAGGTAGAACATGGGATTCAAAACTGAAACTCTTCCATATGATACTATAATGGTGGATATATGACATTATACATTTGCCAAAACCTATAGAACTCTATAGCACAAATACTGAACCCTATGCAAACTACAGAGTTTAGGTAATAATATATCAATATTTGTTCACTGATTTTAGTAGGTAGCACATTAACGCAAAATGTTAATAAAATTTTGTGTAGGGAGTAAGAGGCAGAGAATGGCTATATGGGAACTCTGTGTTTTCTGCTCAATTTTTCTATAGACCTAAAACTGCTATAAAAAAAATTAATTCCATGGGTGGCTCAGTTGGTTAAGCATCTGCCTTCAGCTCGGGTCATGATCCCAAGGTCCCAGGATTGAGTCCCACCTCAGGATCCTTGCTCAGTGGGGAGCCTGCTTCACCCTCTGTCTGCCACTTCCCTTGCTTGTGCGCTCACACTCTCTAATAAATAAATAAGTCCTTTTTTTAAGTTAATTCCATTAATTATGAAATGAAGCAACATCAAAATTAAATAATGGTATAAAAACAGAGTGGAATACAAAGGTAGCTTTTGTCTTGTTGATTAGGCTATGGTATCAAATAGAATTTAGAGAATGGGAAGAGATGAGAATAAAATTTGTCTGGATAAGATGTTTTTAACAGAAAAGAAGTGTATACAAGTAAAACTGAGCAATACTGAGACATAGATATACACCAAAGGAGCCCAGGGACTGAGGCAGCTACAATGGAAAAAGATAGCTCATAGATACAGAGAACATATTGGTGGATCCCAGACATAGGTGGTGGGAGTGGGGTAGGCAAAACAGGTGAAGGAGGTCAAAAGATACAAACTCCCAGTTATAAAATAAATAAGTCATGGAATAGAATGTACAGAATGGCATCTATAGTTAATAATGCTATACTGCATTTCTTAAAGTTGCCAAGAGAGTAGATCTTAAAAGCTCTCATCACATGAAAAAAATTCTTGCAGGGTGTGGTGATACATGTTAACTAGACTTACTGTGATGATCATTTTGCAATTATACAAATATCATACACTTGAAATTAATGTAGTATTTTATGTCAATTATACCTCAATTCAACAGAAAGCAACAGAGAAAGAATATTTTTAAATCATCACTAACATTTCTACTATTATATTTTATTCTTTTGGTTTGGTTGAAGGATATAATCCATCAGCCCGTATGTGGACATAAACACTCCTGGTTTTGTCCATGATAGAGCATCAGGGACTAGAATTATCCTTTCACCTTAAACCGATTAAAATACGGACAAAAATATGGGAAAAGGAAATATTCAGACGTTGGAAAACAATAAGTGCAAGGCAGTAATCTCTGAAGGAAGGAAAACAAAGTAACAGAGCCCTTTGATAACCCCATTTAACTTCCTGAAGTTTCCAGGCCACAGCATTAGGAAAAGGGACCCAAACAGAGTCTATTGTTCTCCTAGAGTTCAGAGAAAAGGTGTAGAGTTTTGGAAGCCCAAAGCAGCTAGAATTCACAAGGCACAATATTAGAGAGAAGACAGCTGCACAGATAGAGAGCTCCATAGATGCACAGAGGGTCTTCCTTGAGGTAGAAAGAAGCTTTCACCATCCACTCCAAGCTCTAGACATCTTTCTATATCTAGTTATTTGGGACTGTCTTGGATCAAAGGGGTCTACAGAACTTGGGAGCGCTGTAGCATCAAGTTGCGCTTGGCTTAAATATGGCAGTATTAGTTGAAAAGCAGAAGCTGAAGGAGGACAGGATTCCCATCAACCTTTTCCAACCAAATCTTATTTTCCACTTCTAAATTGTATTCTATAGCATACATTACATGATTGCTTCAAAATTCTTTCCAGTACTAAGACAAACAAGGTAATTTCTCCTTTCTGTTGCTAAGTAGTCATAAGTTTAACATACTAGTTCTAGCAGCTGTTTATATTCATAAACTGACAGGTACTCAGCTGTTGTCAAGGAATTAGTGCATATGAGATGATCTATAATTCGTAGAAACAAAATCTGCAAATTTATCACTGTTCATCTCAAAAGCCTAGCACTCCTGAAACATTTCAGTAGCATACATACTCCAGTCAAAACTAAAAATTATTCAATCCAAGTGATAGCAAGGTACTCCTCAAAAATAAGTCTATTTTTTGTAGCATTTAGCCTTAACTAGGAATTTCAATGCTTGCTTGATAGCTCAATTGTATGGCTCCAACTCCAGGCGATCTATGTTATTACCATAATAATGACTTTAAATTATAAAAAATTATAGAAATTAATGCACTGAACATAGGTTATTAACACGATAATGCTTAAACAAGTGGAAACTTACGTGGATCAGTTGCAGAAACATCTCTAAATTCTTCAGTTGAGTGAGTTTTTATGAATTCTGAAATAATAGTAAGTTTGTCATATGTTTCAAATATCAATTATATGTATTGAGTTTAAATTTCATAGTTTTTTTTAAATAACTCATTAAAAAGAAAGAAAAACAATAGAACTGCCAACAGTGGAAATCCTCCCAGTCAGGCAACAAATAGAAATATATGAATTTATGAATGTATATATGAATATATATGTATATGTATATGTATATAAATGTATATATGAATGTATATAACAACTAAGTGTTATGAACTCATCATTTTCTCAACAACACTTGTTTTTCCTCTTTTATTCTCTTAGTTAATGTTATCATGATTTAATCTCCCTTCTTTTCATATCCAATCAAGTTTTACCCATTTTACCAGTAAATTTTCTCAAATCTGCCCTTTTTCTTCTTGTTTATTTGTGTTCTAATATAAGGACTTATCATACACATAAAACAAAGCAATAACTTCCCTTTCCTATTCCTAGTCCCCAAATGTAACTTCTACAAATGGCCAGAGTAATCTGCATACAATTGAATCCAACAATGCCACCTCCCTACAAAAAGTCTTCAGTGGTTCCCTATTATATATATTTTTAAAAAAATCCTTAGCACACGATCTAATACCTCTGACTGGCTCTTTCTTACCTTATCCTTACTTATTGCTTCACATTCTAATACCATTCTATTTATAACTCCCTATTCATTCTGTTTGTTCATGCTACATCCTCTTTGTAAAATAGCAGATATTTCCCTTCTTCACTTGACTAAATCCTAGTCATCCTTTAAGGTTGCATAAAATCTTCCCAACTTCCTTGGGTTGAACAAATTGGCTATCTGTGGACTTGCTGCAAATCACATATAACTTTTATCATGTATTACACTATATATTAAAGTGATGCATAATATGTGTGTGTCCTTACTAATTCATGTATTTTACGGTGGCTAACAACCAAGGTTTAGTTTTGTACAACTTCTGGAATCTGAAACATAAGAACCCTTATTAAAAATATCAAACTCACAACTGAATATCTTTTTTAACTTGCTACTGTATAATTTTATGGCTAAATTTTTAAACTGTAAGCTGCAAAATGGTAATGTAATTTAGAAAACCCTATAAATGCTAAACATGTATAAAATATTATCACCTTCAATTATCTGCTGTACAACTTCATTACTATGCACTGTTCCTGGTGAATTTTCAGTATCCCTGTTAAAATTTTAATAAGTACATTTATTTATTATCAGAGAGTAAGAGCTTAAATTATACTTAAGAAATAAAATATATGCTCTGGATATATGTAGTTTATAAAATAAAACTTAACATAATCTTTAACCTTTATTCAGACACCAAGGCAAACAAGTATAAAATCACACTGTGTAATTCTATGAATGCTATATATTCCATGAATATAATTAGGTATTCCAACAATATTAACAACAAAAATAACAAAAGTAAATTGGGTAGAAGCATGACATTTCTTTTCATATTGTGATTATTAAGAGCACAAGTTCTAGAGTCAAACTGTTTGGCTCAAAACTTGTTTTACCCACTTAGTAATTTATAACTTTAGTAAGTTACTTAATCCCTCTTACAGTTTCTTCATCTATTAAAATTGGGGTATTAGAGTACATACCTCATAAAGTAGTGGTAAGGTCCAGTACATGTAAAGTTATAAGGAAAACGCCTGTACACATCAGACACTTCAATTTCAGGTATTACTATTAACATACAATCTGAAACTAATTTTGTACTTTACAATAGATAGCTCAAGTGAGTCTATCTGAGCCTCTGAACTAAGGATCTAGTTAATGGGCACCTACCGGAGCTAACTCAAGTGCCATTCCTTTCATTCCTTTAAATCTAGTCATTGACAGAGATATAAAGTAACTGCATAATAAATAGTAGTCCCTCCCAATTACTCTCTATTTTAACACTATAAAAGGGTTTTTATTATATGTTTAATGAAAAAAAATGGCTATATGTAAACTTTTACTTGGATAAGTTACTATACCAGATATAGTTGGCAATAACAGAATAACAAGGGAACAAATGAGGTGATTTAATTCAGATACTCATAAAGTTACACATATTTATTTACTGTTTATATGTGATAAGAAACATTTAGATGTGTGTAACTAGTTCTGAACTTGAGGAAACCATCTTTCCAGGAGACTCACACAGAAATTATTAATTCATAATACAAAATTACTAGGTAAGGGCATATGTTATTTTATTGTGTTTCACTTTATTGCACTTCAAAGACTGCATTTTTTACAAATTGGTTTGTGGCAACCCTGCACACAAAAAGTCTATCAATGCCATTTTTCCAATAGCATCTGTTCACCTTGTGTCTCTGTGTCGTATTTTGGTACTTCTCAGTATATTTTAAGCTTTTTCATTATTATTATACTTGTTACAGCTATCGGTGATCACTGATCTTTGATGTTTCTATTGCAATTGTTTGGGGGTACCATAAACCATGTCCATATATGGCAGCAAACTTAACAAAACTGTTGTTTTGCTCTGACTGCCCCACCAACTATCTCTTTCCCTCTCTTTGGGCCTTTCTACTCCCTGAGACACAACAATACTGAAATTAGGCCAGTTAATACCTTTATATTGGCCTCTCAATGTTCAATCTACAGGAAGAGTCTCTTGTCTCTCACTTTAAATTAAAAACTGGAAATGATTAAGGTTAGTGAGGAAGATACATCAAAAACCAAGAGAGGCTGAAGGCTAGACCTCTTGCATCAGTTATTCAAGTTCTTAATGCAAAGGAAAAGTTCTTGAAGGGAATTAAAAGTAATACTCCAGTGAATACACAAATGATTAAGAAAGCAAATAGTCTTATTGCTGATACAGAGAAAATTTACTGGTCTGGATAGATCAAACCAGCCACATTTTTTACTTAAACCAAAGCATAATTCTGAGCAAAGCCCTAAATCTTCAATTCTATGAATGTTGAGAGATGAGGAAGCTGCAGAAAAGAAAAGTCTGGAGTTTGGTTCACAAGGTTTAAGGAAAAGCAGCCATCTCCATAGCATGAAAACAAAGGGTGAAGCAGCATGTGCTAATACAGAAACTGTGGCAACTTACTCAGATCTGGCTAAGATAATTAATGAGAGTAGCTACTAAATGACAGATTTTCAATGTAGACAAAACAATCTTTTATTGGGAGAAGATGGTGCCTAAGCTTTCATAGCTAGAGAGAAGTCAAAAGCTTCAAACAACAGGCTGATTCTCTTGTTAGGGGCTAACGCAGATGGTGACTTTAAGTTAAGCCAATGCTCATTTACTATTTTGAAAATCCTAGGGCCCCTAAGAATGATGCTAGAAAGCTTGGAAGATAACAGCAGAGTGGGAGAACCCTAGGTTCACCTGATCCCATGAATACAACTAGGTAACAATCAAATCATCCTAAATACCCCCAGAAGACTGGCAGAACAAATTCTAGAGCTAAATGTAGAGAAGAGGCCACATCAAAGAAGGTAGAAGTAAGGAGATACGGTTTGGGAGAAAAAAAAATTGTGGCCCTGTGGTGGGTAGGGAGCTGCAGTCATAGAGCAGCCCAAGAGACAGAATAGAGCCCATATGGGGAAGATGAATCCCAATAGCAATTGCCTTGAAAAGCAAGAGGGGCTGAATTTTGTGAATTTTTGCAACCATTGGAGCTTGAAACCTGGAATTTTAAAGATCAATGGCTGGGGGAGACCCTAGAGGGCACTGAGGTTACTCTTGGAAAAAAGGCAAGGTCAACAGCCTGTGAACGTACAGCATGGAAACAGTGATCTGAAGAGTGCGTGGGGCTCCCAGGCGGGAGGTTATTTGCTCATCTCCCACCATATCCCAGACAGGCAGTGTGCACAGACCCCTCCAGGAACAAAAGAACTGGCAGGTACTGTGTCCAAAACCTTCCAGATACTGCGAAAACCATTCTAAGAGCCAAGTCTATAGCAATAATGGCCTACATCAACAACAACAAATCTCAAATAAACAACCTAACCTTACATCTACAGGAGCTAGAAAAAGAACAACAAAACCCAAAACCAGCAGAAGGAAGGAAATAATAAAAATTAGAGCAGAAATAAATGATACCAAAGCTTGAGTCTGTCTCTGAGGATCTAGACCCTAATGCTGAAGCTCACTCCATCTCAGGACTGTGACCAGGATCTCTAAGATTTTGACCCCATATCTTCAAGTTTCCACCTTGAACCAGAAATCACCAATCCTGTCCCTGTGGTACTTTTTTTTTTTTTTTTTTTTTTTTTTTAGATTTTATTTATTTGAAAGAGATGGAGAGAGTAGGAGCAGTGGTAGGGACTGAGGGAAAGGGAGAGGGGAGATGACTTCCCCGCCTTGTGCACAGAGACCCAGCAGGGCTGATTCCAGGACCCTGAAATTATGACCTGAGCCAAGGTCAGATGCTTAACCAACTGAGCCAACCAGGTGCCTCTATTCCCCTGGATCTTGAGCCAGTGTGCACCTCAACCACACCAAAGCCCCAGACCTGAAACCCCCTCTCTCATCCAGACTCACTACTACACCCAAGGTCCTGGCCACTAGTCCCATGGTGCTCCCTGCATGTGCCAGCCCTCTCCCACCCTTCTCCTGCCCCGATTACGGTCGAGCCTTCTGCCGCTGCTCTGGACTGAGCTAGCACTGCTGCTCCCACAGCAGCAAGAAGCCATACCACTGCCAGACTTGCAGTAAGTCATTTGGCCATGGCACCATTCTAGTTCAGCACTGCAGCAACCGCACTGGCAGGTGGCCCGACCCAAACACCCTCTGCGGCAAAGCCTTCAGCTGGCGCTCCACACTGCTGAAGCACTGAGGCAGCCACAGCCACAAGAAGCTTCAGCACTGCCCCATGTGTGTCAAGGCATTGAGCATGGCTTGCTGCTAGTTCAGCACCTGCGCATGTACAGCAGCTCTCAGCCCTGCAAGTGCCCAGTGTGTACCAAGGGCATCAGGCAGGACTCAGCACTGTTGATGCACCTGCAACTGCACACTGGCAGTTCCCATGCCTACAGTGCAGCAAGGCCTTCAGCCAGAGCTTAGCACTGCCACAATGCCAGTGCCTGTGCACGCACAAGTGCACACACACACAGACACACAGATACACACACACACACACGGCAGAGTACCCATACCATTGTCCCCACTGCGACAACACCTTCAGCCAGAGCTCCAACTTGCTTCAGGACCTGCAAAGCCACACCAGCGAATGGACCTATGCCTGTCCCCACTCTTGAAGGCCTTCAGTGGGAGAGCTCCTCCCTGCTGCTGCAGCACCTGCATATGCATTCGAAAGTGCGCCCCCTGCCACTGTCAGCTCTGTGGCAAGGCTTTCTGACAAGCCTCTAGCCTCACCAAGCACAAGTGGGTGTGTGAGGGTGTAGCTGCCACCACAGGTCAGGGCCTCAACCCAGCTTCAATGTTGAGGCCAGAGCATGTCTCCCTCCTGAATCCTGATGCTGTTCTTGGCTCTGGCCTGGGTCTCAGCACTGACACCAGCTCTGGCCTTAGTCCTCACCCTAGCTCTGTGCAATACTCCCTCCCAAGTCCTACCCCAAAGTTATTTCTGGTTCTGAATCTACCCTCAGCCCTGACTCTGTCATATCTTCTGACGCTAAGCCTCATCACAAGGCCAGTCCTGACTTGTGGCCAGCCTTGACCATCGATCTGATCCCACACCTATCAGGATCCTGTGCCCAGCCCCAACTCCAACTCTGAGTCTCAGCCTGACCCCTGCTCTCCCACCCATGACACTGTAAGTGCAGCCCTCCCTACTGGCTAGAGTCCTGAGTGAGTATAGGAGCAAGGGACTGGCCCCGTGGCTGAAGGGGGACTCCCAACAATCAAGAGGGCCTGGGGAAGTTGGATGTCATGTTGTTAAGTAAAATCCTCCCACTGCCTCATGAAAAAAAAAAAAAAAAAAAAAGGATATAGAATCTAAAAAATCAAAACCAGATAAACAAAGGAAAAAAAGATAAATAAAATGAAGAGGAGCTGCTTCTTTGAAAAAATAAACAAAATTCCTAAGCCTCTAGCCAGACCCATCAAAAAACAAAGAGAAAGGACCCAAACAAAATTACAAATGAAAGAGGACAAATAACTAACACCACAGAAATATCAACTACTATAAGAGAATATTATGAAAAACTACATGCCCACAAACTGGGCCACCTAGAAGAAATGGCAAATTCCTAGAAACATAAAAACTACCAAAACTGAGGCAAGAAGAAATAGAAAATTTGAATAGATCAATTATCAGTAAGGGGATTGAATCAGTAATCAAAACTCCCAAAGAGTTTTAATGCAAAAATCCTCAACAAAATACTAGCAAACCAAATCCAACAATACGTAAAAAAAAATCATTCACTATAATCAAGTGGGATTTATTCCTGGGTTGCACAAATGGTTTAATATTTACAAATCAGTCAACATGATACATGACATCAGTAAGAGAAAGGATAAAGAAACCATATGATCCTTTCAATAGATGCAGAAAAGGCATTTGACAAAGTACAACATCCATTCATGACAAAAGCCCTCATAAAGTAGGTTTAGAGGGAATATACCTCAATATAATAAAGGTCATATATGAAAAACCCACAACAAATATTATCCTTAATGGGGAAAAACTGAGAGGAAAAAAACAAGACAGGGATGTCTACTCTAAACTAGTTTTATTCAACATAATACTAGAAGACCTAGCCACAGCAATCAGATGACAAAACGAAATAAAAGGCATCAAAACTGGGGCGCCTGGGTAGCTCAGTGGGTTAAAACCTCTGCCTTTGGCTCAGATCATGATCTCAGGGTCCTGGGATTGAGCCCTGCCTTGGGCTCTCTGCTCAGCAGGGAGCCTGCTTTCCTCTCTCTCTCTGCCTGCCTCTCTGCCTACTTGTGATTCTCTCTCTGTCAGATAAATAAATAAAATCTTTAAAAAAAAAAAAAGGCATCAAAACTGGTAAGGAAGAAGTAAAACTCTCACTATTTATAGATGACATGATACTCTATATAGAAAACCCTAAAGACTCCCCCCGCAAAAAACTGCTAGAACCAATAAATTCAGTAAACTCACAGGATACAAAATTACTATGTAGAAATTTGTTGTACTTCTATATCCTAATAATGAAGCAGCAGAACAAGAACTTAATAAAACAACCCCATTTACAACTGCACCAAAAATAGCAAGATACCTAAGAATAAACCTAACCAAAGAGGTGAAAGATGTATACTCTGAAAACCTATGAAACGCTAATGAAAGAAATTGAAGACAACACAAAGAAATGGAAAGACATTCCATGCTCATAGTTTGGAACAATAAATACTGTTAAAATGTCTATAGTATCCAAAGCAATCTATAGATTTAATGCAATCCCTTAAAAAATACTAGTAACATTTTTCACAGCAGAACAAAAAGTCCTACAATTTATATGGAATGATCCTGAAATGATCCTGAATTTCCAAAGCAATTTTCAAAAAGTAAAACAAAGGTGGAGGTATCAAAATTCACACTTCAAGTTATATTACAAAGCTACAATAACCAAAAAAGTAGATTCTGGCACAAAAATAGACATACAGATCAATAGAAAAGAACAGAAAGCCCAGAAATGAACCACAGTTATATGGTCAATTAATCTTCAACAAAGCAAAGAATAGAATACTCAATGGGAAAATCAGTCTCTTCAACAAATAGTATTGGGGAAAATGGACAGCAATATGCAAAATACTGAAAATGGACCACTTTTGTAAAGCATACACAAAATAAATTCAAAATGGATTAAAGACCTATCTATGAGACCTGAAACCATAAAAATCCTAGACAAGAACATTACTATGTCTCTGACACTGGCCACAGCAACTTCTTAATAAGTATATCTCCTGAGGTAAGTGAAACAAAAACAAAAACAAAGTATCAAAATAAAAATATTTTGCACAGTGAAGGAAACAATCAACAAAACTAAAAGGCAAGAGATATAATGGGGAGAAGATATTTGCAAATGACATATCTGATAAAAGGTTAGTATCCAAAATATATATAAAGAAATGATACAAATCCATACCAGACAAAAAAACAATCCAATTTACAAAGAAGCGGAAAACATGAACAGACATTTTTCCAAAGAAGACATCCAGATGGTCAACAGACACATGAAAAAATGCTCAACATCACTCTGCATCAGGGAAATAAAAATCAAAACTACAATGAGATTTTACCTCACACCTGTAAGAATAGCTAAAATTAACAATACAGAAAACAACAGGTGTTGGCAAGGATACAGAAAAAGAGGAACCTTCTTGCACTGTTGGTGGGAATGCAAACTGGTGCAGCCAGTCTGGAAAACAGTATGGAGGTTCCTCAAAAAGTTAAAAACAGAACTATCCTATGAAAGGATACATACACACCAATGTTTATGCAGCATTGTTTACAATAAGCAAATTATGGAAACAGCACAAGTGTCCATCAACTGATGAATGGATAAAGAAGAAGTGGCATATTTATACACAATGGAATATGATTCAGCCATCAAGAAGAATGAGATCTTGTCATTTGCAATGACATGGGTAGAGCTAGAGAGTGTAATGCTAAGTGAAATAAGTCACTCAGCAGAAAGACAAATATCATATGATTTCACGTACATGTGGATTAAAGAAACAAGCAGGCAAAAGTGGGAAAAAAAGAGAGAAAGAAATAAATTAAGAAACAGATTCTTAATTACAGAGAACAAACTGATGTTTACCAGAGGGGAGGAGGATGGGGGTGGGCTGAAAGAGGTGATGGAGATTAAGGCATGCACCTGCTATGATCAGCACTGGGTAATGTATCAACAATTCTGCTGAATCACTATATAATCACTAAATAAAAAATAAAATAATGAAAGTTGAATAAGTCAGAGATCTAATGAACAACCTGGTGTTTACAATTAACAATACTATTGGATACTTGAAATTTGCTGAGAGTGGACCTGAAGTGTTCTCACCACAAAAAAAAAAAGTAACTGTGTAAGGTGGAATAAAATCATCAAAGGTATTCTGTGATGATAACTTGTTCATCTATTTAATTTTAAGACAGCTAAACCTCAAGTATCAAAAGTGAGTGTCAACAGTTAATAGGACTATCATTATAATCATTACTTGAATCTTCATCCCATCTGTCAAAAAAGGCTTATCTCAACTGAAAAATAGGAAATTATTCTTTAGAGCATATCCCTGTCCCTTTGAAATTTTTAATAATGCTATTCATAAATAATTATTTAATGATATCCCAGTTTCCTATTTATTATAGAAGCTACTGAGGGAAGATTTTAAACCCAGATATTCAAAGCGAGCCATGTTTAATAGAACTTTCTAACAACAACCCCATTGGCTACTAGGCATTTGAAATGTGGCTTACATAACAGCAGAACTGATTTTTTAATTAAATGCAACTCAATTTTAATTTTAGTAGCCACATGTGACTAGTGACTACTGATTGGACAGTGCCATTTCAAACTATTAAAAAATTCAGGAGACAAACCATAAGAGACTCTTAATCTTACAAACAAACTGAGGATTGCTGAGGGGAAGGGGAAGAGGGACAGGGTGACTGGGTTATGGACATCGGAGAGGGTATGTGCTATGGTGAGTGCTTAATGATTCACAGACCTATACTCCTAGGGCAAATAATACATTATGTGTTAATAAAAATAATTTAAAACCAGAATTTCACATAGAGCAAGCTACCTATTTGATCTGATTTAGAAACTTTATGTACAGTATAATATCTGAACCATTATCTTACACGCATTACTAATTATATAGCCACTCATTGCTTCGAATTCTATTAACTCTTATATTTCACTTACTTGGCTTTAGACAATGGGGCTCTTGAGGAGCATTTAGTCCGTTGTTTAAGGAGATTTTTCAGTTCTTCTAGTTTTTGCACTTGCTTTACTACTTGTTCAATGCTTAAAGTGACTGTTTTGTCAGGAGTTGGACACTCTGCCTCTAAAAAGGTTTGATCTTTACTTATCTAAAATGGTAAGATTAGCCAGTTATTTTCTTTTCTGAAAAGAAATTTCATCATTTTTTATTTTTTATTTCCTATATTTAAATAACTTTTATAATACTCTTATCTATAGCTATAATCAAATACTGCTATTTCATAAATATAATTTTGAGTAATTACCTAACAAAAGAATTATAGGTAAGTGTTGACTTACATGTCAAAACTCAAATCCAATCTTCGGTTTATTATTTTAATATATAAGAATTTTAAGCAAGTTCAATAATGATTGAAACAGGATCAGTTAAGTGTAATTCAAAATACTTACAAGAGAATTCTAAAGTAATTGCTTCCCCCAAAATCCTAAGGATAGTCTTTCTTAAGATAAATATGGAAAGACACTAATTTGCTCTCAAAAGCAATAACTTCTATTAACTCGCAGAAGTTAATATGTAAAAATCTATGAAACTGGCATTCCTTGGTCTGTCTGGGAAGAACTAAGACCCATTTGGGTGTCTCAAGACTTTTAGAATAGGCCAACCTCCAGAATAATGAGGAATCAGGAAAATCAGTAAGATCCACAGAATAATATGATAGACCATAACCGATATTCTAAGTATTAACTCTGCTTAAACAAAGCTGAGCAAGATGAGCGCCTCCCAGCTTAAAAAAAAAAAAAAGGCACAATTAAAGAAACACAGAAACAGCCAGTAATGTGGAGACATAAACAAGCAGAGTAGCCAAAAAAAAAAAAAAAAAAAAAAAAGAATTTATTTTTTACAAAATGGCAGAGATCCACCCATGTACATATACACTGCCAACTTTAATGATGGGAGGGAAAGTGGAGAAGAAGAAGAGGAAGAGAAGGAGGACAAGGAGAAGGAGAAGGAGGGAAAGGAGGAGGGGGAGGGAGAGGAGGAGGAAAAAGAAGAAGAAGAAAGGAGAAGAAAAAGAAGAAGAAAGGAGGAGGAGAAGGAGAAGGAAGAAGAAAGGAAAAGGAGAAGAAAGGGAGGAGGAGGAGGAGGAGTTGTCATTGTTGTCATCAAGACATAGCCTAAAACCTAGCAAAAAGAAATTCTAGCAATGGGATTTAAAATAGACTTCATTTAGTAACGCCTACTTGTAATGGAATTATGATATAATAGCAGGAAGTATATACCGGGTAATGAACCAGAAGTCTGAAATTGAGGGATGCGGAACAGGTGGAAGGGAAATAGGAGATGTATGGAAACTCTATGGACAAAGGCATGATCCCAAAGAGGGGACATAATTTGGTTTATCAGATATATTGCCAATTCATAAATGGAGTTTAAAAATGATGTAGCAGGTTGCTGGGGGGAAGGGGGTGGGGTTATTATGGACATTGGGGAGGGTATGTGCTATGGTGAGTGCTGTGAAGTGTGTAAACCTGGCGATTCACAGACCTGTACCCCTGGGGAAAAAAATATATGTTTATAAAAAATAAAATTTAAAAAAATGATGTAGCAATAGCCAGTTATCAGTTTATTGCCTTTCATCTAAAAATCCATTCTTCATTGTCCTGCTAATAATAGTGGAACATTTCTCTCTTGACAGGTGTCATGTTAACCCTTTAATAGAGGGTCCTAGACAGTCCAGAAAGAAGCAGCTTTCTTCCTAAGTCTGTCATCTTTCTCTGCTTAATCCGAGGACACTGCAAGGTACACCTAGTAGAGTTCCAGAAAGTTTTGACAGCCCCACCCCCATATGTATCTTCCTCACAAGGTCCCTAGCATGACTTCGCTTGGGCAGCTTCTCCCAGAATTTCTTAGCAAAATCTACCAGTGTAGAACCTCCCTCTGGGAAGCTTTCCAGCATACCACCCTTGTGATATGCTAGAGGTACACCACCTCCCTGGAAGATGGCTTTTCCCAGCACCACAGCACCAATGTACTGCCATCATGGTCAGCTTCCCAGTAAACCCCAGTTCCACCAACATGGCACCCCAGCAAACTTCTCTGCCACTTGGTGGTGACAGCCACTCCTTCTTCACAAGGTGTGGACCTCCTGAGTTAAGGAGAGGGTTAAGGTAGGGCTATTGAGATTTGTTCCTTCCTTAAGTGCTATGCTTCCATCCTATCAGTAGAGGCTGCTCTTTATACCCTCTATCCCTGTATCTTTTAGAGTTGTCTTTATCACTTTATAGGTATTCTCCTGTTATAATAATTCTTTATGTTAAACTTTCCCTATTCAGATTACTGTGTAGTTCTCATCTTTTGATCAGTCCCTAACTGACACCCTGTATTTCTCATTAGGAATTCAATTTAAACGTAAGTACTTTCTGGGAGAAGAGATGATGTCACAGAACTAAAGGAATGTGGAATAGACGATGAGATTATAGGCTATAAGATTTCATCAAAGAGACATACTGGACACAGGTTCCAGCAGAACAACTCTGAAGCTCATAGGCTATATGCTTGTCCTACATTTCTCTGCTATGGCTCACATACGTTATAAAAGCTTTCACATGTATCTTGTTAATGCAACCTGATGACAAGCATATAAAACCTCACCAGCATGTACTAACAATAAAATGTGTCAGCAATAAGTATGAGATTATTCCACAATTCTCAGATCTTAGTGTACATAATAATCCTCTAAAAAACCCTATTAAAAAGGCAGATTCCTAACTTATACACACACAAGAAAACTTTAACTCAGTAAGTCTGACTTGGAATTCTGAAATGTGCATTTGTAACAGGTATCTTGGGCGATATTTAAACATGATCTATCAAATATATTCTAAGAAACACTCAACAAAAGGCAGAAGATAATACAAATACTTAGGCAATGTATCAGATACACCAAATTAAGTAACTATTCAAAAGAATTAATTATGGATCTAAAAACTGAAAAATTTAGATTCTAGATTAGATGTTTACTGAAGATTCCTCTTGGTGAACATGAATGCATAAATCAGGATTTCAGGAATCCCAGAAAAGATAGTAACTGGCACTAAGGTGTAGAAAGTAGATACAGAGAAAAATAGACACGCATGATAGCTATTTAGGTTATAAAATCAAAAGGACTTGGGAATGTACTGAATATTAGGAAATTGAGTTGTCAAGGTAAATCACCACACTTCAGGTTTACCCAACAGGATAAATACTACTGCCATTCACTAAAACAGGAAATACTGGAAGAGATAAAAGTTTAAGTGTAAAAAATTCTTGGTTTTACCAGTTAGAATGGCTAAAATTAACAGGTCAGGAAATGACAAGTGTTGGTGAGGATGCAGAGAAAGGGGAACCCTCCTACGCTGTTGGTGGGAATGCAAGCTTGTGCAGCCACTCTAGAAAACAGTATGGAGGTTCCTCAAAAAGTTTAAAATAGAGCTACCATATGACCCAGCAATTGCACTACTGGGTGTTTACCCTAAAGATACAAATGTAGTGATCCAAAGAGGCATGTGCACCTGAATGTTTATAGCAGCAATGTCCACAATAGCCAAACTATGGAAAGAACCTAGATGTCCATCAACAGATGAATGAATAAAGATATAAAAAATAAATAAATAAATAAATAAATAAATAAATAAGTAGGATGTGGTGTGTGTATATACAATGGAATACTATGCAGCCACCAAAAGAAATGAAATCTTGCCATTTACAATGACATGGATGGAACTAGAGGGTATTATGCTGAGCGGAATAAGTCAATCAGAGAAAGACAATTATCGTATGATCTCTCTGATATAAGGAATTTGAGAGGCATGGCAGGGGGTCGTGGGGGTAGGGAAGGTAAAAATGAAACAAGATGGGATTGGGAGGGAGAAAAACCCTAAGAGACTCTTAATCCCACGAAACAAACTGAGGGTTGCTGGTGGGTGGAGGGAGTCAGGATAGGGTGGCTGAGTTATGGAAATTGGGGAGGGTATGTGCTATGGTGAGTGCTGTGAAATGTGTAAGCCTGATGATTCACAGACCTGTACCCCTGGGGCAAATAATACATTATATGTTAATTTTTAAAAAATTATTAGTTTTTACTCATTGGGTTTGAAGTGAAATAGTCCAGAGGAGTTCAGAAAACTGTTTTGAGCAAGAAGTGTCTATTTCTAAATTACCATTATAAAGGTAATTCTTAAAAGGGAAAACTGGTTGATGTTGCCTAGGGGGAGAAGTTTAGAGTAAAGGGGGAAAAAAGGAAGGCATAGAATGAAATCTTGAAGCACTCCAATATTTATTGTTTAGAAAAGGAAGGTGCTATAAAGGAAACAGCTAAGGAGGTAAAACAATGGCCAGGAAAGTGTAATTCACAAAATTCAAAGAAATAGTGTTTTTAAAATGAGGAAATGATCAACAATGTCAACTATGGCTGAGGTAAAGAAAACTGCATATTGAATTTAACAACATAAAAATTGCAGAGAACCATACAGAATGCTTTCTTTGTTATGGAGAAAGAATCCAGTTGGGGTAGACTGAGAATGCTTTGGAAGTAAGAAGAGTATATATAGTAAATTGATATCAAAAAAATTTAGCTCTGAGCCTGTAAAGTGTGACCCTAAGCTAAACTGTTAAAGTTTTTATAGAAATACACAGACAACTCTAATTGTTCTAATAGCCTTAGTTGGCTCTTTAAAGGACAGAATGCCCAGATTAACCTCCTCACTAAGTGCCTATTTACCAGTTAACAATTTTTTTTATAAAAAACTCAACTAGTTTCATTGTTCCTAAGCTATCTGCAAGGCTTTACTCTCCTCTCTTTTTTCAAAAAATTTTTAAAAGATTTTATTTATTTGAGAGAGAGAGGAAGAACAAGGGGAGGAGAAGAGGGAGAGGGAGGAGAAGCAGACTCCCCACTGAATGGAGAGTCCCACACGGGGCTGGATCCCAGAACCCTGAGATCCTGACCTGAGCAGAAGGCAGACACTTAACCAACTGAGCCACCCAGGTGCCCCTTCTCTTCTCTCTTTTATAAATCTTGGGTTTTGCCTTTATCCCCAACATTATCTAATAACTATTTCCCTTGTAAGCAAATTTGCATACAAAGTAGTTTTTTAAAAATTGGTTATGAACGGCAAAAGAGAAATAGGTCTATAACTGGAGGGAATGCAGCATCAATTAGATATAAGCATATTTAAAACCTGAAAGGAATGACACAATTGATTAGGAAAAGTTTAGTATATAAGAGAGAATGACTGATCAAATTTCTTAAGACCCAAAACAAGTAAGAGAATGAATCTTATGTAGAAAGAAGAAAAATATCTGTTTAACAAGAGCAAAGGAAGGTAGAATGAGCAAGGATATAAAGAAATTTTTGTTTGGTAGCAAACTGAAGGAGTTCTAACCAGTGGCTTGTATTTCAAGCATTTTAAGTGACTGGCTGACAATGAAAATGAAAATGGGACAGAGGGAGTGTGGGATTGAGAGGATAGATGAAAAGGACTGAAATTCATTTTGGAAATGCAAAGGAATTGCAAGGCAGTATTTGGAATAATTATGTTTGAATAACTGTGTCAGTTTCTTCATCAGTGTTTCACAGCTAAACTAAAGGCCCAAAGAGTAAATAACTGAATTTATTCAAGGCTAAATTTTTTAGGCTAGTGAAATGAAAAAAGCAAGAGATAAAGAAGAGTAGGAAGTTAAGAAATTCACTGTTATTAAGGACATATGTTCCAAGCTGAAAAGAAAAATGAGTAAAAAAGACTGAGGAAGGGGCAGCTGGGTGGCTCAGTGGGTTAAGCTGCTGCCTTTGGCTCAGGTCATAATCTCAGGGTCCTGGGATTGAGTCCCGTGTGGAGCATCGGGCTCTCTGCTTGGCAGGGAGCCTGCTTCCCTCTCTCTCTCTCTCTGCCTGCCTCTTTGCCTACTTGTGGTCTCTCTCTCTCAAATAAATAAAATCTAAAAAAAAAAAAAAAAAAAATACTGAGGAAGGTTAAGGTATGAATGAACTAATGGTCTTGTTAAAGTCAAAGAGTGGCCAGAATAGTATGTAAATAATAACTGACAAGATAAAAATACGTAGGTTCAAGAATAAGTTGCCTGAATTAGTGATTTTAAAATAAAGCAATTTGTTAATGATAAGGTCTAGAGTATCACTAGAAGTAAGGGCCAAAGATAAAGAAAGAGATTAGTTCTGGGGAGATGGGGAGTCAAGGAACTCAGAGGCTAGGATTTGGGGTAGGTCTTCATACTGACAGGATTAGGTACAAAAAGAAGAAAGTAAGACAAATCCATGTATAAAACAGAATAAAAAGAAGTAGCAAGATGAAAGAAAGAAGGCAGAAAACAAGCTAGATTGTTCAAGTTGCAAAGTATACATTTTATAAGAAGGGAGAACAGTGGACTTCACCTCAATCCTACATCTCTGGAAAGATAATGACCCATCTATCATAGGCAAAGAAGAGCTACTAACACTCTTCCAATGTCAGCCATATCTATCCTAAAGCAAAGGGTATATACAGACCGTAAAATTCTACTCTGGAGCCAAAGGTAAAATAAGAGGGTGCTAGGAGACAGTCACAATTTCTATCTTTACTTTTTAATTTTATATCCCAAATAAATGAACTTATTTAAAGTGCCTGGGATTCAGTGGTGCTTAATTAGACGAAACCATAAGCACAACCAACGGAGAACAAGAATTATTCTATAAATCACTGAGGCTACCCTAGAAATCATTCTGCTATATTAATAGCATAAATTCTTTCCCAAAATAGAATTAAAAACCCTTAAGATTAGAGACTACTAGCTTTCAAAATGGTCATAAAACATCTGAAAATCTAAAAAAAAAAAAAATCATTAAAATAACATTAAGTTGAAAGAAAACCAAATATAATTTTATAAGTAAATATATTATACAACTTTTTTAAATACAGGAGAAATATTTAAGTTGCTAAGTTTTCTCTTGTCATTCTTTTATGTAAATTAGTAAAAATGATAATTAAATTTCCATTATTTAATTTTAGGAGAAAGAATGTGTCAAACAGAGCATTCCAGATACACGTAGGAATGTAGTATGTAATCACTGAGAAACATTTTACTCTACCCATGTGTTCCTTCTCTACCTAAATTAAAAGATTATAAATAACGATTATTCAAAATTTTATTTCAAATTGATTTTCAGATGAGACAAAATAATTTAATTTACAATTAAGAAATGTTATACTTACCTCTTCCATCTGATTGACCTGTTGTTGAAACCACTTTAAAAAAAAAAAAAAGAAATACTTATTGGCAAGCTATTCCAACATATGGGTACACATGAGTGCATTTGTGTATGAGTTATCTATGAAATATTAGCCCTGAACCAACATCATTATCATTTATCCTAGGGTTCAGAATGGAGCTAATGCAATGTACAACTCGAACATAACATTTTTAAATATACATAGTAGCAAGTTTGGGAGTTCTTTTTATTTCCTCAAAACTTAGAAACCTCTTCCCCATTAATATGTATTTCTGTACTAAATGTTAGTAGGCTTAAACTGCAATATATTAAACATACCTTAAAAAGAGATTCCAAAATCTGGAAAATAAAGTTTTAATTAAAACATTTAAAAATAAGAATTCTTCATAGTGTATGATGTGATGTCTCTATAATTCTCAACCAGAAAAATGTAAATTACAAGTTACTAAAACTATAAATCTATAATCCAAAATTATAATTTTCATAATTACAGACACAGTTTTAGTATATCTTGCATAGACACCTCAATTCTAGAAAAATTTCCATCTCTATAGATCTATATTAGGATAGCCCAAAATAATTCACATATATGATTTCATATATTTTCTTAATATAGGTAAAGAAAAAAATTAGTAGTCCTCTTGGAAGAGATTATTTTCATATAACAGAGAGTATAGTAATAAAAAGCATTATCATAAGAACATTATCTCTTCAATATGACTTTTCTCTGATAACAGGCCTAAAAAATCAAGCTATAAAATACTATACTATTACCTGATTTTTTAATGGAAAATGCAAAAAAATGGTTTGGGAGATTGTGACATAAATTGAATATCCAAAATACCAAGACTTAACACTTAGAAAATGTAATGTTAAAATGATTATGCTTGCCACACAAAATACAAGCCTATTCTATCACATCCAGATAAAAGTCTTTAACCACTTTGTTGAAGAAAAATATTACTACATTCATTCAGGCAATAAAAAAAAAAAAAAAACGTTGGGAGTCAAGATGGCAGAGAAGTAGCAGGCTGAGACTACTTCAGGTTGCGGGGGATCTGCTAGATAGCTTATCTAAAGATTGCAAACACCTACAAATCCAACGGGAGATCGAAGAGAAGAAGAACAGCAATTCTAGAAACAGAAAATCAACCACTTTCTGAAAGGTAGGACTGGCGGAGAAGTGAATCCAAAGCGACGGGAAGATAGATCGCGGGGGGAGGGGCCGGCTCCCGGCAAGCAGCGGAGCAACGGAGCACAAAATCAGGACTTTTAAAGGGCTGTTCCGCTGAGGGACATCGCTCCAGAGGCTTAACCGGGGTGAAGCCCACGCGGGGTCAGCGTGGCCTCAGGTCCCGCAGGGTCACAGAAGGATCAGGGTGTCTGAGTGTCGCAGAGCTTGCAGGTATTAGAACAGGGAAGCCGGCTACAGAGATGGAGCCGAGGAGTGAGCTCACAGCTCGGGCCTACCTTGAACCGGTCGCAGACTCAGTGAGCTCGGATCGTGGCCGGAGGCCAGGCAGATGGGAGTAATTGGGCGCTATTCTCTGAGAGCGCACTGAGGAGTGGGGCCCCGAGCTCTCGGCTCCTCCGTACCAAAGACTGGGAGGCCGCCATCTTCATTCCCGTCCTCCGGAACTCTATGGAAAGCGCTCAGGGAACAAAAGCTCCCGAAAGCAAACCCGAGCGGATTACTCAGCCCGGCCCCTGGTAAGGGCGGTGCAACTCCGCCTGGGGCAAAGACACTTGAGAATCACTACAACAGGCCCCTCCCCCAGAAGATCAACAAGAAACCCAGCCAGGACCAAGTTCACTTACGAGGAGTGCAGTTTCAATACCAAGGAGAGCCGCGGAATTCGAGAGGAGGAGAAAGCAAATCACGGAACTCATGCCTTTCTCCCCATGATTCTTTAGCCTTGCAGTTAATTTTTTTTTCTTTTTCAATTTTTTTTCTCTTCTTCTGCTAAATTTTTTTAACTTTTACCCTTTTCTTTTTTAACGTTTTTTAACTAGTTTATCTAATATATATATATTTTTTTCCTTTTTATATTTTTTCATTATTGGTTTTCTTTTTTTATTTCTTTTTTCTTTTTTCTTTTTTTTTTTTCTTTCTGAACCTCTTTTTATCCCCTCCCCCCCCC